GATGACCTTGTTTTCTATGACTTCTGCACAGTATTTAACATTTGGCCAACTATAGTAACTCCTACTATATAATCTAATAATAATGCATTTGCAACCCATTATTCCTAGAGCTGTGAAATAATAACAATGAGGAGGACTATTAATGAAATATAAAACATAGGTTCTAGTTCTAAAACATAGTCCTATTTCTTATCATCAAGTGTCTGTTATTAGGCACATGGGTGATAATCAGAACCCAAAGTATAGATTAAGTGTACTGTAGTTTTTGCCTTTAAGGAGCATGAAATCCTTAAGAACTAATAGTGAAATTGTATGCAAAACAATAATCATTTTACACATCAACATATCTGACAGCACATGGCAGCTAATAATGGAATTTTATTCCTACTGTCTAAAATAGTTACAAGTTATATGATAATAAAAAAGAAAGAGTATTGAGTTTTTAATCTAGTATTTATTCATAGATAATATACGTAGGTCAGACCAAGCAGTCTGTTGATGTGTAAAATGCATATTTTTTGCATATTACTGGAAAGATATTTAAGTACACACTTTTTTTCATTTTCTACTTATTGTCAGTTAATTTCTGGCCACTAATGATATACATGAATATAGTGTTATTGAGGGTTATAGTACTTTTTTCTACTTGATGATGAAGTGACTGGAAACTTCCAGCTATTTCTTGATGCTTTATTACATTACTGGTAATACTTTTGGTCTTTCATCATTATTAATTCATTTAGTATTCATTGTGATAATACTGATCATAATACATTTATTTCAAATTCATGTAGATGTCATTTTATTCACTGCTATAGGATTTTCACTGTAATTTGGAACGAATGAATATACCATTAAAATAAAGTGTTACCCACATTTTTCATTTTAAACATAAAATGTCTAGCAGTTGATGACATATTGTATGAGTATTCAGCATCCCAGTGGTAACCCAGCATCTGTAAATTTCGTTTTTAAGCACTTAAAAAATGGGCAACAGAAAAACGTGTATAGAAATGAAATTTTAGCACATAAGTTAAAGTTTAGCAGTACGTTAACTACTAATTAATTTTTAGTGCCTCCTTCCTTTTAATTGCAATGTATAGTTTTTATTAATATAATATGTGCTTGTGTATATATATATATATATAATATATGTATATACATTATTAGTACCCCAAAAAGAAATTATTTTTCTACTTGACCAGTGTCACCAGGAGAAATTAAGAAACATTAACTCAAAGCAGATAATTTGACTGCTTCTCTTCTGCATTTCTAATGACAATTATAAATAAAGGGTGAGTTCATACTAATACATTAGTAACTAATACAGTAACTTCAAAATAATTATTAGATATATCTATGTGACTCATTTATATTTTTCTTCCATTTTTGTAAAGATAGTAAGTTGATTGTTGGTGGGAAAGGAGAAACAAATGTTTTCAGTAGTTTAAATTGACTATATTAAGAAGATGAAAAACAAATCTAGTTGTATTAAATATTAATGGTAAAAGTTTTAAATAACCATAAGAAACAGCTCTATTCTATTGTCATGAATTTTACTTCACATTAGCCTTTTGAATGAAATTATTCTTATTTTTTCCATATCTCCCTTCTTTGAGTTGCCTGCTCTACTGGACATTGTGTTGTTGTATCTTTTCCATGTTGGCCATTAATGACAGTTTCTTTGTTCCACTATCCCATCTTGTTATTGGCCAGGATAAGATATTAAAATAAAAATGAAAGATTCTTTCTAATCCTGCAACTGGTTGAATAACCACCTTGTTTCCATGACTTCCACATACTGTTTAACATAGTCATGGTCTCCCATCTTGATGCCTTCCCATTAACTTCTATGACACTGCACTATACTTGTATCTTATGATTGGACCTTGTTTTTTTTGAAATTGTTGTTATTGAGCATCTTTTACTGTAAATCTTTACAGAGATTATCAAACTCTGGGGATATGTGTTTCCATGGCCAAAATGTTGGTATTCACGGAGTCTAGAATCCCTTAATATTATGCACAAAACCCTGAAAGCCAAGGCCTTTTGCCTTGGCATCAACGATTAATCTTCTTATTTCCCCCATCCTTCATTTCTGTCTTGAAATTTGCATTTTATCATTCTCATTATTATTTTACTACATGTGTGTACATCCTTAATGAACAGCCCTAAAATTTTGTGAGGTTTTTACTTATGTAAATAAAACTATTCTGTGTCTGTTCAAAGGCCAAACTGTTTCCTAGCAGCAATAAATATGAGTTTTTATCACTAACACTTGGTATAGTCTAAAAATTTTGGGGTGTTGCTATAGATGTTGGTATCATTTCATATTCTTTTTTTTTTTTTTTGAAGCGGAGTTTCACTCTTGTGACCCAGGCTGGAGTACAACGGCACAATCTCGGCTCACCGCAACCTCAGCCTCCTGTGTTCAGGCAATTCTTCTGCCTCAGCCTCCCGAGTAGCTGGGATTACAGGCACGCACCACCATGCCCAGCTAATTTTTTGTATTTTTAGTAGAGACAGGGTCTCACCATGCTGACCAAGATGGTCTCGATCTCTTGACCTCATGATCCACCCACCTCGGCCTCCCCATTTCATATTCTTAGTCTGTTTCTTTTATTGTTTTAGGGAGATTGGTGCTACCTTTTGCCACAAAATTTCAATATTATATTTGGAAATTAATTACATAAATTTTTTTGCATTTTCCTTTTCTTCCATTTTCCTTTCCCTTTCTTCTCCTCTCTTCATTTCTCTTCTCCTTTAGAAGCAGTGATGGTTAAAAACCCAACCTCTGGAGCAGGACTACCAAGGATTAAATGTCAGCTGTGACACTTAGTATAGATGTGACCTTGGGTATATTACAATATTTTCTCCACAGTGGTATCTTTTTTTGTCAAATAGGGATAATTATTCTCTTCTTCATAGAGGTATTGAAAGGATTACGTATGAGTTAATTCACTGGTATGTAAAATGTTGGGTACTGTGCCTGACACATAAAGTTTTAATTAGTAAAATATATTTATTTTCTTCTATTTCTCTCAACAGCTCCTTTCATGTTTGCCTGTCTTTTTCCTATCATCACCCAGGATTTAAGTTATGAAGAGGATAGGGCACTCATGGATTCCTCAGCAATTTGTCATCCTAAAGTAGGGAGAGTTTTCAATGTTGGGAGTAGATCTAGTGAGGGAAGCCTGTGAGTGGCACTTCTCACTGGGATGGAATATGCCAACAGGCATGTGTCTCCCTCAGCTAGCACCTTTGGTAAGACATAGGTTGAGTGTTAGGAGTGACACCAGTGATCTCTCCTGAGGCCATGGGGAATACAGGACAAATGGGGCAAAATAGACAAGATTATTGCCTTTGACATTTTCAAGTTTAATGGAAGAGACCATCATTAAATAATTTTTAAATATGATTGTGGTAAATATTATGAAGAGCTATGAGACTGTAACATGGAAAGGCCTAATTGTAGTCTGGGAAGTCAGGGAATGCTCTCTGGAGGAAAGGACTTTAAGCTATTCTCCTTCCCACATGGAGTACAATAATATGATGCCAGAATACACTTTATTCAAGCCTCTTTTTTTTTTTTCTTTTGGGACGGAGTCTCGCTCTGTTGCCCAGGCTGGAGTGCAGTGGCATGATCTCAGTTCACTGCAACCTCTGCCTCCCGGGTTCAAGGAATTCTGCCTCAGCCTCCTGAGTAGCTGGGATTGCAGATGCCCGCCACTACACTTAGGTAATTTTTATATTTTTAGCAGAAATGGAGTTTCACCATGTTAGCCAGTCTAGTCTTAAATTCCTGACCTCAGGTGATCACCCACCTTGTCCTCCAGAAGTGCTGGGATTACAGGCATGAGTCACAGCACTGGGCCTTACTAAAATGTCTGTCATTTGTTACATGCAGTACAAATATACAACAATAAGGAATCTTTCCTTCCTTCCACTCCTGTCTAGAGCGGTCTTCCACTCTTAACTTATTTCCAGCAGACTTTATTGCATTGTATAGTAATCTTACCATAGTGCCTTCCATTCATTATCAGGTAATGTAGCTATTTATATATTCTCTTGTGTGTATGTGTTTTGTTATTATGCTTTAAGTTCTGGGGTACATGTGCAGAATGTGCATGTTTATTACATAGGCGTACAGGTGCCATGTTGGTTTGCTGCACCTATCAACCCATCATCTACATTAGGTATTTCTCCTAATGCTATCCCTCCTCTTACCCCCTACCCCAATAGGCCTGGGTGTGTGATGTTCCCCTCCCTGTATCCATGTGTTCTCCTTGTTCAACTCCCACTCGAGAGTGAGAACGTGTGGTGTTTGGTTTTCTGTTCTGTGTTGGTTCTTACAGTTTATCCTACACTTAATCTATACCTTACGTAATCTTACGGATTTGTGTGAACTCTCCCTATATTGTACATGTTTCACATCTGGATCACTGATTTGAATTTCTTATCTCTGTATAAGCCCTATGGCCTCCCCCTGCCTCCTTTAACTTAAACAGACCTTCTGAGAATTCCAGCTATGAATGGAACAGGCATTTTGTGATGGATTCATTTCACTTAGAGGCAACTCATTTAACTAATAAATGAGTGAAGTATGTGAGCATTTTAGTCTTGCATGATACATGTGTAGTAGCATTTAAACAGTAAATTCAAATGATTATGTTTTAAAAGCAATGTCAAAATAACACATCACTTTCTTACTCCCTAATAAAAATTACTGGCAAATTAATTAATTGTAAAATTGGTGATTATCAAAATAAAAAAAAGTAAAGCTGTTGAAAGCACATGGCTTCTCAGAAAAATGTTAATTTTCAAAACACAGCTCATGATTTTTGAAATGCCTTATTTATTTATATTTTAATGTTACTTAAAATGATATTTGAATTTATAATGATCACTTTGGAAGAAATTAAAAATCAAGTTTAACAGGTTGACTTGCTTTAGAATTATATTCGTTACTAATGAAGTGCTTTTTAAACATTTTGTTTTAGTATTGTAGATTCATTTAGAAATAAGGAGAATGATGCAGCAGTTAAAATCCAGAGCTGGTTTCGAGGATGTCAAGTTCGGGCATATATCAGGTATATTGGTTTTGTCATGGAAACCTCAGATATGTCATAAATATATATCCCTTAGAAAATGTAATTTATTTATGCAGTGCTTATTTCAAATAATTTTTTATTCTACTCATAATGTAGTTAATAAATTATATGGTGTTCTTTTAAAAGAAATACATAGTATTTCTGATCTCTTCTTACCAAAACTAAATTACATTGACTATATTTCTTTTTAAAATTCTCAATATTGGCTGGGTGCGGTGGCTCACTCCTGTAATCCCAGCACTTTGGGAGACTGAGGCAGGTGAATCACTTGAGGTCAGGAGTTTGAGACCAGCCTGGCCAACATGACAAAACCCTGTCTCTAGCAAAAAATACAAAAATTAGCTGGGCATGGTGGTGCATATCCCAGGTACTTGGAAGGCTGAGGCAGGAGAATCCCTTGAACTTGGAAGGCAGAGGTTGCAGTGAGCTGAGAAGGCACCACTGCATTCCAGCCTGGTCAGCAGAGTGAGACTCTGTCTCAAAAAAATAAAACAAAATTCTCAATATTACAAACACACTTGCTCAGACTCCTTTTCCCATATTCCATAGGATCTACAAATGATTGGGTTTGTATTTATAGCAAAAATTTGTTGACTGGTAAGAAAGGGGGAAAAGAAAAAACAGTTTCAATCTTTTCCTTCATGTTGGTAAATAAAAAAGTGATGCATGAATGATGTTATCTGACCATAGAAGAGACTGAAATTTGTACCTTTCTTAACTCTTTCTCCCTTTTTTTTAGTGCCCAAACTTTCCCTCCGTGTCTTTCTTAAAATACATTTTCCTGTATTAGGTACAGGAAAATTGGCCTGCTTCATAATAACTCATCAGACTGGGAATTATCCTATATAAAACATCCTTATACTGTCTAGTAGGAGCTAGATAGGCAACTTTAAAGTGTGAAGACAAGGCTTCTTTGTCTTTTTCTTTTTGAGATGGAGTTTTGCACTTATTGCCCAGACTGGAGTGCAATGGCACAGTCTTGGCTCACTGAAGCCTCCACCTCCCGGGTTCAAGCGATTCTCCTGCCTTAGCCTCCAAAGCAGCTGGGATTACAGGCGCATGCCACCATGCCTGACTAATTTTTGTATTTTTAGTAGAGACGGGGTTTCTCCATGTTTGTCAGGCTGATCTTGAATTCCTGAACTCAGATATCTGCCTATCTCATCCTCTGAAAGTGCTGGGATAACTGGGGTGAGCCATGGTGCCAAGAAGACAAGTCTTCTCTTTTGGCCACTATGTAAACTAAGAAACATGGTGGCAAATATAGTTTTTTTTGTTTTTTGTTTTTTGTTTTTTTGAGACAGCGTTTTCCTCTTGTTACCCAGGCTGGATTGCAATGGCGCGATCTCGGCTCACCGCAACCTCTGCCTCCTGGGTTCAGGCAATTCTCCTGCGTCAGCCTCTCGAGTAGCTGGGATTACAGGCACGCGCCACCATGCCCTTCTAATTTTTTGTATTTTTAGTAGAGACGGGGTTTCACCTTGTTGACCAGGTTGGTCTCGATCTCTCGACCTTGTGATCCCCCCGTCTCGGCCTCCCAAAGTGCTGGGATTATAGGCTTGAGCCACCGCGCCCGGCCTTCTTCTTTTTTTTTTTTGAGACGGAGTTTCGCTCGTTACCCAGACTGGAGTGCAATGGTGCGATCTCGGCTCACCGCAACCTCTGCCTCCTGGGTTCAGGCAATTCTCCCGCCTCAGCCTCCTGAGTAGCTGGGATTACAGGCACGTGCCACTGTGCCCGGCTAATTTTTTGTATCTTTAGTAGAGATGGGGTTTCACCATGTTGACCAGGATGGTCTCGATCTCTTGACCTTGTGATCCACTTGCCTCGGCCTCCCAAAGTGCTGGGATTACAGGCGTGAGCCACCGCACCCGGCCAAGTATTTTTTAGTTCAGCAGACCAACATGTTGGCTTGGATAGCCTGAGGATTACAGAAAAGAATGAAGAGGAGAACTATTTCTTAACCTCATGAATCTTTCCTCTCTCTCCTCCCCCTCCCCTCCCCTCCCCTGTCCCCTCCTCCTCCCTTCCCCCCTCCTGTTCCCTCTCCCCTGCCCTCCCACCTCCCCCTTCCCCTCCTCTTTTCTTCATTCCCTTCCCCTCCTCTCTTTCTCTCCCCCTCCCTTTCTTTCTTTTCTTTCTTTGGACAGTCTTGAAAGAGTCTTGGTCTGTTGCCCAGGGCTGGAATACAATGGCACAATCTTGGCTCATTGCAACCTCTGCCTCCCTGGTTCAAGCAATTCTCCTGCCACAGCCTCCAGAGTAGCTGGGACTACAGGCTCACCCTACCACACGTGGCAAATTTCTGTATTTTTAGTAGAGTGGGAGGGGCGGTGAGGGGGGACGGCAGTGTGGTTTCACCATGTTGGCCAGGCTGGTCTCAAACTCCTAGGCTCAGGTCATCTGCCTGCCTTGGGCCCCCAAAGTGCTGGGATTACAGGCATCGAGCCACTGCGCCTGGCCCTCAAGAGTTATTTCTAAGTGTCAATATGATTTACATAAGTAGTGCCTGGCTGACTTCTCAACATGTCACTGTGACCTGTTTTATAGTCTTAACACTCAAAAATATTTTAAAGAGTAAGTATTCAAGAGGAATTGAAATTAAATATTGTGTAGTAATAAGCCCAAAAGAAAGACTGAATAGTTACCTATGCCATTTTTTCTACGTTTAGAAATGATTGATTCTATCCCAGAATAACTTTCTACGCTGTAAACGTTCACATAAACTCGGCTTTGAATTTGAATTCTTGAATTGTAGTAGAGTGTTCTAAGTGAAGATTTAACTAAGCCTACTTTTTCAATGAAAGGATACTAATAAACATTTTTATCATAGGCATTTACACAGGACTGTAACAATTATTCAAAAATGTTGGAGAAATTTCTTAGGCAGAAAGCAGTGTCAACTAACTGTGCAGGTAAACATCAAATGTACACATGTCAGCATTTGAATTATACAGTATGCTATAACTCATTCACTTTAGTTTTATTTACAAAAGTTTGGAAGTTACTGATGATGAGTATTTATATAAGGACAAAATGGGGCTTAATTTTCGCTATGAGATCTCTTCTGAAATAATTTTCTGATATTTCCATGGAGAATTGACTCATTTTTCTGGTACGTGAACTACACTGATGTTATTTTTGCTTAAAGTAACTTCCACAGTATATACATTTATACTCATTTATTGATGTTTTTCTGTACTTTGTAGACGGTGAGGTTTTTTTTTTTGAGACAGAGTTTTCCTCTTGTTACCCAGGCTGGAATGCAATGGCGCAATCTCGGCTCACTGCAACCTCTGCTTCCTGGGTTCAGGCAATTATCCTCCCTCAGCCTCCTGAGTAGCTGGGACTACAGGCATGTACCACCATGCCCAGCTAATATTTTGAATTTTTAGTAGAGATGGGGTTTCACCATGTTGACCAGGATGGTTTCGATCTCTTGACCTCGTGATCCACCCGCCTCAGACTTTCAACGTGCTGGGATTAGAGGCATGAGCCACCGCACCTGGCCCTGATGGTGAGCTTTCTGAGAGTGGATGCTGTCCAACCTACCCTCTACGGGAAGACAGAGCTCGTTCAGAAAAAACCGGGCCGCAGGTTAGAAGAAAGTCTTAAGTTCAGGCTTTATTGAGAGGAAAGAGCCTCCGGGTGGACCAGCCAGGAAGAACAGGAAAATGGCCAAGCCGCTCAGAGGAGCAGAGTTCTTTTATAGGGGGCTGAAGGGCTGAGGGAGTGGGGAAGCCGAGAGAGCTGAGGTGGCGGGCAACAGTTGGTCAGTTTAAACCGCTGGGCGGGAAGCTGGGCAGCGGGAAACTGGGAGGTGGGAAGCCAGGAGGCAGGAAGTTGGGGAGAGCTGATGAGGTGGGTGATGATTGGTCAGCCGGTTGCCGGGCGGGAGGTGGCTGTGGCCGGGCAGGAAGGCCAGGACGGTATGTAGAGTGAATGATAAGGGAGTCCCTTTGTGTGGGAGGGTGAGGGCTTTCACGACAGGGACAGAGTTTTCCAAACATTCCCGACTCCTTAAAGAGAAGAAAAGAGAGGGGGGACAGGGGCGTCGGTTGTCTCTCTGGCTACTTCCTGCTGATAAGGGTCGATGGGAGGTCTTGAAGAGGTTTCTTTTCTTTAAGGAGCCTGTGTTCTGGGAGAAGTCTGCTTCCAGCACTTGTTCGGGGTAAGGTTGGAGCAGCATCTGGTGGATGGTGACTCAAGTTAGTTCTTGAAAGCGCTGCTGTAGGAACTGTAGAAAGCAAGGAGCAATAAGTAAGATTAGGCAAACGGCTATCAGGGGCCCAAGCAACGGGGACAAGAGGGCATACATAGAGGAAGACCACTACACTGTGGCTTCAGCTGAGAATTTTTGGTTCTGCAGGTTAGTTCTGAGTTTCTGGAGGTTCTCAATTCGGGTTTCTACTAGGACGGATTTATTGATGTAGTAACAGCACTCTTCCTGTAGGAAGATGCAGGTTCCTCCTCGTTCGGCAGTGAGCAGGTCCAGGGCTCTTCGGTTCTGTAAGGCAACTTGGGCAACTGAGGTAATCTGTCATTGGAGTGATGCTAATGACTCAGCAGAGTCATCAACAGCAGTTTGGAATTGTGAGGTTAGCCAGGCTATAGCTTGGTGAGAGTGGGTTAGTGCTCCTCCTCCCAGTCCAGCTGCAAGTGCCAAGGTTACTAGGGAGATGCCTACAGCTAGGGGCAGAAAAGCAGCTCGCTTGATGCGGTGGAGTGGTGCTTGTAGCATTAGGAATTTGGCTGAGGAATATATAGTGAGTCGGGGGACTAAGGTCACTGGGAGGCATAAGAGAGTTGGGGATTGGCCGGTGTGGAGAGTTTTTGTGAGGGTTTTAAAAAGTGTTCTGTTGCACCATAAAAAGGTTCCGTGAGGAGCGGTGAGATTGGTGGTTCTGGGTATAGTTCAGTTGCAGGTGGGAGAGCTGTTCCCATAGCAGACTGGTATTTGCTGGTTTGGAGGTAGGTAGACTTCTACATCTGCTATGGGGGTAGCCCGGGAGGACGGTTTGGAGGAGCTGGCATGAGTGTTAGATGGGACTGCGACTAAAGGGGTTTGTCCTAGGGTGGCGCACATGAGGCATGAAGATAGGTTTGGTAGACTTGTTTGGTTGGCAAGCTGGTTAGTAATTTTTAGGCCTTCATTGAGGAGGGTTAGCCATGAGAAAGGTTGAGAGGATGGCTGAAGTTGTTGGGTCAGCGTTTGTTCCTGGGTGTGAATGGAGGAGTGAACTTCTTTAAGGGTAGGGGGTAGAGCTACCAAAGCTCTCCAGATACAGAGGTGGGAGGAGGGGTACCCGGTGGCCATTGCATCATATACTGCTGCTTTTTGGAGTGTGGTGTAGCGGGAGTTTGAAGAGTCAGGGATTTGGACAGAGTGATAGGGAGGACAGCTGAAAATGTGGTATTCCAGCTTGGAGTCGGAGTAATCGGTGCTATGGAGTGCTGGGGGGATGGCGCAACTCGTCCAGGTGCATCCTATGCAATTTAGGTGAGATGACATTTTGCAGGGGCCTTTTTGATCATAGAGAAAACAGAGGACAGGATTATGACGCTAAAAGTCATTTCGGGGTATGTTTTTGAAATCAGTGAAGTTTAGAAAGATGGGTGAGTTGCACCCTGTAGGAGGGCAGTCATAAGTGGCGAGGAGGTGGTTGTGGCTGTAGGGAGGGGTGTTGCAAATGTGTGTGGTTTTGGTGTAATTTTCAGTTAGGTAGAATCTCCATATAAAAGAAGGAGGGTTACTGGAGGTGCTGTGGGGTTCTGGTAAGCTTAAGAGATAGAGGACCAGTAGAGGTAACATTCTAGGAGGATTTGGGAGGCCCATGAGGTTCTCTCTTTACTCTGGTTAGGTGCACCCATGAGGAGATTTTGGCAACTCTTACTGCTGAGGGGGTGGTGAGGATGACTGTGTATGGGCTTTCCCACCTGGGAGTTAGTGGCTTTGGAGAGAGTGACTCTATAAGGACCAGGTCTCTTGGGGAAACTTTCTATATTTGGTTAGGAGAGGAATCAGGCGGGGGAAGGGAGGTATCAGCGTGTTCTCGGAGAAGAGCTCGGAAGAGGGTGAAATAGGGCAGGTAGGTAGATAGAGGAGGGGGGTCAGGTGGTAGTGGGGAGGAGAGTAAGAAGGGCCGTCTGTATAGCAGCTCAAAAGGGCTGAGTTGTGAGGGGCCCCAGGGGCTTGCTTGGAGCCTTGTCAAAGCAATAGGAAGTAGGGTAACCTAGGACTGGCAGAGTTCGAGGGCAAGTTTTGTTAGGTGTTCTTTGATGAGGCCGTTGGCCTGTTCTACTTTACCCGAGGATTGGGGATGGTAGGCTGCATTCAGTTTCCACTGAATCCCTAAGGATGTGGAAATGGCAGAGGTGATCTTAGAAATAAAGGCGGGTCCATTGTCTGACTGGATGGTAGAAGGAAGGCCGAATCGGGGAATGATGTCCCAGACGAGGTGCTTGGCTATAAGTCCTGTGGTTTTATAAGCTGTGGGGAAAGCTTTGATCCAGCTGGAGTAAGGAAGAAGGGGAGATGTTACATTGCTGCAGGTCTGTTGCCAGGGCCTGGCTGAAAAGGTGGGGGCTGTCCCGGAAGCCTCGAGGGAGGACCGTCCACGTTAACTGTTGAGACAGATTGGTGACAGGATCTTTCCAGGTAAAAGCAAAGAGGAAGTAGGAGTCGGGGTGTAGCAGGATAGAGAAAAAGCATCCCTAAGATCTAGGACTGAAAAGTGGGTTGTGGACGGTGGGATATGTGAGAGGATGGTATAGGGGTTGGGGACTACTGGGTGGACTGGAATGACTGCTGCATTGATAAGGTGGAGGTCTTGGACCAGGCGGTACTGACCTGAGGGCTTTTTCACAGGCAGAATGGGAGTGTTGCAGGGGGAGTTTGCAGGAATGAGTAGTCCTTGAGCTTTCAGTTTATTTATGATAGGTAGGAGGCTGAGGCGGTGAACTTTGGAGATAGGAAACTGAGGGCGAGAAGGGAAGGCCGTGGGGTCTTTTAGGTGTATGAGTATGGTGGGTTGGTGGTGTGAGGCTACAGTGGGGGTATCAGTATCCCATACTTTGGGATTTACGTCAGGGAGGAGTTCGGCCGGAGGAAGGGGGGAAGGTGAGTTGGTGATGAGGGGTAAGAGGAAGGTCTCTGTGTGTGGAAAAGTAATGGTAGCTTGCAATTTTACTAGGATATCTCACCCTAGGAGAGGTACAGGGCAAGAGGGAATGACTAGAAAGAAGTGGGTAAAAATGGAAGGGCCAAACAGACAGGTTAAGGGTGGAGTTTGGTGAGGAGTGGAGGGGGACCCATCAATTTCTATAACAGAGACCTGGGAAGGGGTGGTTTTGCCTGAAAAGGAGGGAAGAGCGGAGTAGGTAGCCCCCGTGTATGCTCTTACCCGTTACCTGCAGCATGACCCTGGGCTCAGCAAGGGTAACTGAGGTTGAGGAGCCAGGGCCCTGTTAATCATCCCTGAACCCTAACAGCTTTGGGATTGGAGATTCCTGAATGCCTGGCTCCTGACCAGCTGAGGCAGAAGCCTGGCTCCAGGGGATGTTGCCCTGCTGCCCCCTCGTGCCAGAGTTTTGAGGAACTGAGGCCTGAGGTGAGTTAGGGCAATCTGACTTCCAGTGTCCCATGAGCTGACAAATAGGGCAGGGCTTGGTAGGAGGCCGTGGCTGGGGACAGGCTTTTGACCAGTGCCCTTCTTTTCCACATTTGAAACACGCCCCAGGAGGGGTGCGGGTATTTGCTTTACCCTTGTTATTTCTGCCGGTCAAAGGGCTGCTACTAGGGCTTGGGTCTGTAGAGCGACTTTCTGCTTCATGCGAGTTTGGTGGGCAGCCTCAGCCACATCTTCCCTGGCATTGAATACTTTAAAGGCCATTTTTACCAAGTCCTGTATAGGGA